CTTTTCATTCTTGTGCAGAAAATGTTGATCAGGGTCTGCTTGATTATTATGCAGACCTCTTTCCTAGTCTTATCCCAGTCTCTCTCTTGCTCCGTAGAATCCGTCTGCTCTACCCCTTGTTCACCTATTTCACTCGACTTCTGCCACCACATCTGTCCTACTTGAGGCGTTATTCGCCCTCCCCTGCGTCTGAGGAAGACTTAGAGGAACGCAACTAGTCCGGAGTCCATTTTTTACATGTTCAAAGGATCGGCTTCACTTGTCTTTTTGACGAGTTGTTGTATGGTGCTAAGAATGGCGATACTCACTAACGATGCCGACTAAGATGCCGGCGAAACGTTTTGGAATGTACCACGTCCACGATAATACTCTGGAAAGGATCATACATACAATGGACTCCGGACTAAGTCTTCCTACCAATTTGACCAAGTTGAGAAAACAAGGTCAAACAGCCTCTATACAACCAAAGGAGACTACGACCACACAAAAGGCCACACCATCTTTGTCTTCATACCTTCGATTAAAATAATAATATATCGCCGGATTGCTGGTAGAAGGAAGCCAAAGCATTTATTAATAATAATTCGAAGCCAAACCACTTAAAATCGAAAAAAAGCGCTAGTAAATTAACCAATTGGTGCTAAGTGAAAACAAAAATGTAGGTCATAAAAAAGCTTAATTTGGATTATTTTGATTAACTAGGCCTTATCAGCAAAGTTGGAAAGCTTTCATTTGTCGAGTAATTCTATGAGGGACTTTCATCATTACCAGACTGGAGTTTCACCTCAACGATATTAGTAAATTGAGGCTGATCCATGAAGTTTTTTATTTGGCTAGCCTTATTCTCATTTCTTCATGAGTCATGTTTCATTAAATTGACTTGTATCAACCATAAGTGAACAGTAGTCTACGCTTGATAAATCTGCTAGACGCGATAATAATTCTCATCGAATGCAATGTCTATAAAATAGGCAGTAAGAACTTGTACAAAAGATTATTTTCTAAAAATTGTGTGACCATCATATGGAATTTCTAAACACTATTAGTCGTTAATTTTCTCGGAATTGGCAATAAACAACTAATGTTCTTTATCTAGAAGCCTAGTTTGATTAAATTTATTATTATATTAACAAAGGAATGGCTCCCCATTTGCAAAACATACTATTCAAGAAAGATTTTGTTGGAATTAGGCCTCGAAATTGTTTTCCATTGTCTGACTTTTTGCAAAATACATTTTACTTGCTAAATATAATGTAGATAATGATAGTTGAATTTTCTGCAATGGATTGACAAGAAGGCCTCAAAATACAATTTCACTGTACTCATTCTAGCCTCCCAAAGGGCTCTAATATACGAGATCGACTACAAATTCGGGATTTGAATAGTCCTATCAGCTTCCCTGACGGGGTTACAAACCGGGCAAATATGAATTTCAAGGCAGGGCAGACCCCTTCCAATTCACATTTATGATAAGATAAACTTGAATTTGCAAATGGGACCGACTATATTAGTATCAAATAGACGAGTTGGTTACGAAACTATTAATCGACCTTAACTAATATCTAGGCTTGTTTTCTCATCTTACTATGGGTGTTGATGAAGCCCATATGAGGTCGAAACTGAGGTCTAGGAATGACGTAAAAAGTTATGGAGAAAATGAGCCAAGTGAAATTCATTGTCATCGTCAGACCTTTTACTGTTTTAATCGTATAAAATTCAGCTATCATTCCCTGCATAA